CATCATTTTATTTAATTAAAATTTAATTTAAAATTTAAAAATTTATTTTATTAAATATTAATATTTAGATTTGAAAATTAATTAAAATTTTAAATTTTAAATTGAGATTTCAGTTTTTAAATATAAATTAAAACTCTAATTTTTTTTAAAATCGAGATTAATACTACAAATTTCTTTAATTTATTTACTAAAATTTTCACAAAATACTAAAAATTACTATTTATTATCCGCCGTCCCTGGGGTGTGGGAAGGAAATGGCATTTTCTCAATTTCATTTTACAGCTAGTATATCCGTCAAACATCTTTGGCTCTGCCTTCAGCTGTTGTTCTACCTTTTTCTTACTCCACTTGTAACACATTTTTAAGTAAGACATCTCTCCCACAATAATAATCTAGTCATTCACCGAAAAAAAAGCATAATATTCTAGTCATTCCATTTAATATTTGTTTTTTATATTAAAAAAAAGATAATCTCTTTTCAATAATTCAATGATAATTTTTTTAATTAAAGTATAAAATTAAAAAAAAATATATTTTCATTTTACTTTAAATTTATTATTATCTTTTAATTTTAATTATTTAACCTATTATAAAAAAAACTCTATTTATCTTTATTTTGTTTTTTAAAAATAATATAATAAGTTAATTAATAATATAAATCGTCTTTATATCTTTAATTTAGAAAATAGAAAATACAAGCGAATGGTAGAGTATTATTCTAATATAAAAGGGAGTACTACCGAACACCGGTAACAAATTATGCAAAAAAAAAACAATTACAACTTTAATAGTTTGTTTAAATTTAAGGGAATAAAGGAGAGAGAGAGAGGAGAGAAAAACTTTTTAATTATTTAAATTATAATATTTTTTAAATATTATAATTTAATTAATTTAAAAAAAAATTTCCCTCTTTCATTCCCTGCAACTCAGGAGAAGTGTTCAAAAACAACACGCAAAAGGAAGCAACTTAAAAAAGAAACAAAGCAGAAGGAAAGGAATTTTTGAGAATTACATGATAGCGTTGTGATGTAACCATATATATGCATTCCGACTAGGAAGCAAAAAGGCTTGATCCTTTTTGTCTTTTGCTTTTTTTTTTTTTTTATAATCTTTTGGTCATAGATCCTTTTAGTTCCTACTCCTATTGTTTTAAATAAATATAAGAAATTTTAGAAAGTTGTGCACATATTAATAAAATTAATTAATAGCTTTAACTAGAACCTTAGTTAGAAGAATATAAAAAGGGTTTTAGGTCAAAAATATATTTTTTTCATGAATATATATATAAAAATAAAAATTAACATTAATTTTAGTATTAGTATCAAGTGGGTAAATTTAATTTAATTGATGATAAATTGAAAATTAATTTTCATTTTTTAAAAATAAATTTATGATAAAATAATATAGTTATTACATTTTTAACTTATATCTTAAAGTGCATATATTGTATCT